GGCTTTAATTTTAAGGGAATGTTTCTTGCTCATGTGCGACTAAAAGATTTTAAACTTAACTCTTCTAGTGTGGCTTTCTTTTGCGGACCAACCATTTGTCGAGTCACGAAATCGACATCTACAATTGACATACCAAATAGTTGCATAATTAACTTCCCGAACTTCGAGGGCCAGTATTTTACAGGGTTAGCTACTTTGATTCCTTGCGACCTTGCTACGGCACTAAAAGTGCAAAAACACATAGTCGCACCGGCCCCCCTGGTGCGTTCCAGCCTGGGTTTCAGTTCTTTCTTGGACTGTTGTTGGACGTAGTAAAAAACTGAATAATACTGTGCGGGCAATCAGGACTGCCCAGGCAATCCATGTTGAATGGCTAAACTGATTGTTCAAACAGTCTTGGCGCTCTTGCTATTATGCAAGTGAAAAAATGATACTTAATTGCAGCACCGTTCAAAGCGATGGCGCCGCTGCCTGTACTGCAGTGTCCGTCTTGTGCGGAGACCTATATAAACCCGACCGACCTGATGTTTCACATGGCAGCGCATCGGCAACAAATGCTTCAGTATCAACAAATGGCAAGCAGTGCTTCCGGCATTGCCAGCAGTAGTGGTGGTAATCCGACCAGAACGATCGCGTCGAACAGTAATTCCCGCATTACTCGCCCCGGTAATTCAGCACGATCGCCGCAGGCCACTTGCAAGTGTTCAGTCTGTGGGAAAGCTTTCACAAGGCACTGGCTCCTTCAAGGGCACATGCGGACACACAGTAAGCAAATTTTCTTTAACAAAAATTATTTGGAGTATGCTTTGTGAAGCCACTGTTTGCTACAGCTTGGCCTTTATCCTATCGAGTATACAAAACAAAGATGGCTTGACGGATTTGATCATCAGAGTACCATCATAATCCCCTGAAATTTCTTGTGACGTGGCCTAAAACTCTTGGTGTTTTTGGAACATGTGCCAAAAAAGAATCCTAAATTTCATCAGTTTCCGTTTCCTTGTTATTATAGACACCTAGAAGTAAATATTTTGCACTCAGGAGTACTTTAGTGATTGAAATTTTTCGCGTAATTTATGATATGATTAATCCCTGCGCATTTGTTGCCCACATTGTGTCTGTTTTTGGCTTATCCGTACTTCTCATCTCTGATGACTGGCAACTTTAACTTCAAACGGGCGCAAAGGCCCTGCCGGTCAGTTTCCAACCACAACGTTTATTGATGAAAATGGGTCAGATTTGTTGCGCGGTAGCGAATGAGATTTCATACTCAAATTTTGGGAAATAAGTTCGAGAAAAAATATACGGTAGTCAACATACTTTTGAAAGAATGCTCCTGGAATCTTACCGTAATTCATTAGCCAGAGTTTAAATGGGTAATATTCAAGTTGTAACTTCAAACTATCCAACCAGGAGGTGGGGCAAGTAGGAAGAGTAAGAAAATGAGATAAACTGATTCAGTAAATTGAACAGTTTGTCAGAGAGAAGTTAGTGATTCGTTTAAAAAAGCGTTAATAGCGAAAAACCACCACTCAGAAAAGAAAATTTTAGCGGAAAAGAAATAATTTTACTAGTTGGGAGGTAAAACTGGACAAGCGATTCAGTTTTGGTCAATGAGTGTTAATGAAGGCAATGGTTTACCCAGTTCCGCTGCACTGGAAATTAGGTTACCCTTTACTAACTGATGGTGGCCGGACAGTAAGCGAATGAATAAGCGGGTATGATGTGCTGAGCATGGATATGATTAGGTGCTTTGCTTGAATTCGACAATAGTCCTATTGCTAAATTGCAATCGCATGTCAGTTGGGAACGTATGAGATTTTACCGCGTCAACTTGCTTCCGAATTTTGCCACCGCTGGCGTGTGAAGCAGTTCAAGTTGATACAAAAACTTATGTAAGAGATGTGTTAAGCATTATCCTGTAAATCAGTTGTTTCAGCTGGTGAAAAGCCGTTTCAGTGTTCAATTTGTGCAAAAGCTTTTGCCGACAAGAGTAATCTTCGTGCACATGTACAGACACACAGCGGTTAGTGCACAACCTCTTTTTTGTGCATTATGTGTATTCATAGGCGGAATCAGGAGGGTCTCCTGGGGAGAGGGGGGAGGAGGAGGAGGCGATTTTTCACCTCCCCTTTTCCCCTCGTCATTCCACCTTCCCCTCAGCCAACTGTCAACCCACCCTTCAGTTGTCACGCTACCTTCTTCCCTCCGGTCGTCCCACTACACCTCCTCCCCCCCCCCCCCCCCCCCCCCCCCCCCCCC